ATAGGTTCGACGGACTGCACTCACTTCAGGTGGCCTGGCGGACCCTTTTCGGAGGCTCGCATGAACACCGGCAAGGAGGGTTACCCGACTGTGGTCGTTGAGGCGACATGCGACCACACCGGTGAGTGTTGTTCGGGCAGCACCTCCTCTTGGCTTTATGTGTGTGTAGACATGTAGACGAATTTCCTACCGCTGAGGGCTCACGAGATTGCAGCATTTCCGACACTGGCGCTCTATTGAGCCTAGAGCCCTTTTATTGCGGTTTATCCCAAGCAACCAAGTCTCCGCATGACACGAGACAAAGTACTTTACTGCTGTAGTGCCTCCCTTTCGATTCCGACGAAAAGCGGAGGGGGGNACAGCTGTGTGCAAAACTACACCGCCCGAGAGCAAAGAAAAAAACATGAAGTGCGCTGCTGCTGTTGTTCGCATTCTTCATGGAAGGTACCTTGTTTTCGTTTTTTGTTTGCGGAGAAACTCGTGGCTACCTACCGCACCTCTAGAGCAGTTCATTAGGAAAAAAAATCAAAACACAAACAGACTACCTGTTCGAGATATAACCACGGTCGAAGCAGATTATTGTATTATGTTAGAGCGGACACAGGGACACTTCGAATCCCACGAACACACCAAAACACGAGCTCCTACCGTCAGCTGACTCCCAACGCCGTCTGGCAGAGCATATCGCTGAAGGGTGGGTATCACGTGGGAGGAGGAAAGAGAGAGAGATGAAGCCGATTGGTTGTTGTTGCTTGTTGCTTAAAATCGAATTTCTCACCCAAGAGTAATTCGATACTCTTGTCCTCTGGCGCCGTCGCATCTCGCTTCACTAATTCGTTAATTCATTTATTGTGCGTCGTTCCTCTCATTCCAAACCTCTACCCGCACACACTTGCCATCGCCATACAACCTACGAGCGTAGCGGCGACCGCGAAGTGCCCTTGTACTCTTTCAGGATTCCCTGATGGCTTCAGCACTTTTGTGACGACTGGTCATGATCTTTCGCTAGTTGTTGGTAAGTAGCGATTTCGATTTCACGGCTAATGGGAGAATCAACAACAACCAACCGCAGGCCGCATCATGGCAGCGACCAAGTCATATCCCGGATCGGAGAACGACAAGACCATCATCCAATGCGACAAGTCCATCTGGCGAATCCGAGACAAGGCGCCATGGAGCAGTCTCAAGTACAAGTTGTACAACGCGGACGGCTCGGAGACGGAGTGCAAGGGTGCCTGACTAGTCGTGGACGGGGGCTATCAGAAGGTGAAAACCGTACTCACCGTAATCGTGAAGATCAATGACGGCATCTATTTATCGGAAAGCCGTAGATGTGTCCTCGTTTTATTGTTCCCGTTAGGGCCGTTGTTGTCGTTCGGGAAAACACGGATAAAATAAAACGAAAAGGGTTCTAGAATTTTTCCTTGCTCTCGTCATGATTTCGTTGAGTGAGCTTTTGACGAACCGCGCGGTTTGCTGACACACAGCAGGTCGACTTGGTCTGCGCAGCACGAAAAATAGTACCCGGCACAAACGACAGCGCACTTACTACGACCCACCCGGCCTGCCAATCCGAACAGTAGCGTGAAGGAGGTCCTACTGCTGTACTCTTGCACGGTGCCGCCAAGTTGTGTTAAGTTGTTGTTTAGATCAAGAGCAGGCCTCTCGATTCATTTTTTTCGAACGGCTGTTTGGAGATGTGGCACATGTCTGCCACACACCTTTTTTGTAGCAGCAGTACCCACGAAGCAGCACAGCTCAGGGAGTGAAAATGGCAGGTCATGCTGGCGTTTTGAGTGGTGTTGCAGCGCCCGCGGTGGGCCTGTCACATCCCGACGTGAAATACACCGATCGGTGAAAGAAACACGCAGTTTGTGTCCGGCCCTTGCTCCTTCCGCCGATCTGTTTCCACATTGATAACAATGCCTCCGAACATCGGCACGCAAGAACCAAGTTTTTTTTATCTTGTCGTGTAACTGTTACGACGACCTTTGTTGTTGTGTATTCAAGTACCCGACCCCCGCATTCCTTGTGTTGTCAGTGCGAGTAAATCGTAGGTGCTGGAGGAAACATTCGGACGGTGGTTTGTTTTTCTGGGTCTTGGAAAGACAGTATCTGGTTTGCGCTGCGGCAGGAACTATACCCCATGGACCACGTCTCTCTCCCTTTTGTTTTTCTTGCCCATACCAGATCCCGCTGCTTATACCATCCATCAAGCATCATGCCACGGTCGAGGAGCATGATTGGAGCAGACGGTTGGAGAGCATGCGCAAGGACATTGAGTGCTGCTATGGAAGAGTGAAGGGACGCTTCCGCCTGTTCAAGGCAGGCATTCTCTATAAGACCCGCGACAGCATCGACAACCCATGGTTCACGGCGTGCATCCTCCACAACATGCTTCACCACTACGACAAACTGGACGTCATGACGGAGGCGACCGGCTGGCAGGGATCGGCCGGGCCGTTGGGGGGGGGGCGTGCCAGATGTAGGCACGGGGGACGACAACGACAGCGAGAGACCATCCCCAGGGTTCGAAGAGTTTCGCGCGAAGCTCGTCACCCACTTCTCTGTAGCATGGACCAGGAAGGAGGTTGTGTGGTTTCAGAGGGCAGCGGTATGAGAGGCGTAGACAGCCTCCAGATTACGTTTTGTCTGTTTTCCGTTCTCTTATCCCTGTCGTCATCATAGGTAAGTAGGACGACTGCTTCCTGCGCGAGTTTGTCGTCGCCTCGATTGCCTAACTATTGCTCGTGTATTTTTAAGTTCGACATACTATCGGTAGGGAGGAGTAGATTTGTTTGCCTGACCAGCGAGAACCCGACACGAACACCCCCCCCCCGCAATATCAGGGTACCAAGTAGAATCATGGGGTGTATCCTGCCGTTGGTGGTGGTGTTGACTTGTTTTACATGACTTTCCTGTTTTGCTTTTGCCTCACATAGCGTGGATAGAGGATCAGAGGATTCCATGCTGTATGTTTTTGCCTAACACTGGTGTCAGCAAGCATGCCGTTAGTCTGTTGAGTACGCCAAGCGATCTCGCAGAGTTTTGGACCAGTACGGATGGAGATACTGAGTAGAGAGATCGCAACGGGGATAACTGTGAAGATAACAACAACGTCATACCCCTGACACCTGGATAAGCCATGTATGTATGTGTCCCTCGACGTTTGTCGAGATGGTTGGCACCGCGAGCGGTTGAGGCTGCGGGAACAACGGTTCTTGCATTTTTGTATACCCTCCGCCCCCTCGGCTCAGCTGCTTCCAAAGAACAAAATGGTGCGTTCTGATGTTTTCCCCTACCGATGTGCCCTTGTATTTTGGGCGTGCCGGTGAACTGCAACCTGTGTTTCTCCCCTGCCACCTAATACTTTAATAGTCTAGGTGCCCGCAAAACAACAGCACCCCCTGCCTCCATCGTGTTTTCAGATTAGAATTCAAAACAACATGAAACAAATCAGACGCGGGAAACGGGGTCTCCGCTTGATTATCTAGCCTACCCCCCGCTCCCTCTCTTGGCCTTGTATGCGCCAATCTGCCCTGCTCCTCTCTACTAGTGTGTCTCCGCAAACGAGCGAAAGGGGGAAGTTGGGATAAGCCGAGGCTTGGTTAACCTCCGACGCAAAAACCCAACCCCAATTTCAACGCAAAGCATTCGAAGGCATCACGAAAAAAAAAATGTTTCTCTACTAGTGCAAACATGAATCAACCCCCCCCACCCCTTCCCTCCGTCGTGTTTCCAATTTGAAAACCAAAGTATCCCAAAAAACAAAATATTCTTTTCCTGGTGCCAAAATGAATCACCGTCCGCCCCTTCCCTCGGTCGTGTTTTCAGGTTGAAAACCAAAGCATTACAAGAAAAAAATATGCTCCTCTACCAGTGTCAAATTGAATCAATCCCCCCCTGTTTTCCTCCACCGTGTTTTCAGGTATAAAACCAAAGCAACTCGAAATAAAATCGGATGCGGAAAACGACAGCTCTACCCCCTGCCCTGAACTCGACGGTTGAACCTATATCCCCACCGGTTGCAATAGGTACCACATTTCTGGAAGCGCGATAGAGACGCCAGCCACTGTTTTTTAGGCTGTCTTGGCACACCTAACAATCTTCGTCGAGCAGTCCGGAGAGGGTCTGTTTGATTGTAGCCTCGTCTCCTATACCTAAACCTAGCTTGGTTTTAAGGGCATCGATCTTCTTTTGGCGCTTTTTGCTCTCCTGCTCCGCTTCCTTGATCGCCGCCAGCTTGGCGAGGTTTGTGGCGACGTCCGTCATTCCCTCGGTAGCGGCCGTGAGGACTTGCAGCCTTTTCCGTTTGTTCTGGACCTCCTCTGACGCTCTCTTCGCATTCGCCTTGTCAGCCTCCGCTCGGGCTGCCTTCTTCTCCTGCTCCGCACTGAACGCCGCCGCTTTGCGACGGCTCACGGGGTCACCGTTCGGACAGGCTCGATCCACAGCCGGCTTGCTCGCGACGGTGGAGTCCTCGTGTACGACCGCGTCCCCCGTGTCGTTCTTGGATCGGGTCGGGGGGCCGTCGGAGAGCTCGAGGTACTTCCATTCGGCGGGGCGCCTGTCGCTTCGCCCCCCCGCCCCCGCCATGAGGATATACGGGTAGCAGTAGTGACTCGGCACCTCCACCGCCGCTTGGAGGTCCTCCCTCACCCGGCTTGGACGCCGGACCCATTTCCCTCTCGCGCCGCGCGTTGGCAACGGCGATGGCGGCCAGGTCCATGATCGTGTCCCCCGTCGTCACCGGCGCACCATCATCGGCGGCCGTCGCCGCCCCCTGCGTACCAGCACGCGCTTGACGGAGGGCGGCGCCAGCTGCCGGAGTCAACTGCCTCTCTCGGGTCCCAGCGCCAGAAACCGGAGACGCGCCTTCCGCCCCCGCTACGGTCCCATCCCCAGAAGCCGGAGCCGCGCCCTCAGCTCCCGCCCCCGGTCCGCCCCGCCCGCTGCTCCGAGCCCGCGCGACGAAATACTCGTCCTGTTGCCAATCATTCTTAGAAGGCGCATTCATGCCCATGGACTCCATGTACATAGCGAGATGAAAGTCGTCCATAACTCGTTGCTCGGTTTCACCGGAAGGCAGGTCCACGTCCTGCACCTCGTTCCTTTACACAAGAAGAAAGCGAGGTCCGCGATGTGTGAGTTTAGTACGATGGGCAAGGGTCCCATCGGGCTCGCACAGTCTCGGCCATCCTCTGCGGTCTGTTGTGGACTACCCAACATTATTCGATAGAGGCGAAATCAACATCGGCCAACGTACGTGTTCAAAATCACACAAGAGGGAAGGCACACAATCAGCAGACCCCCCATCAACGCGTGCGACCTCTTTTAGCGTAACACATCAGCAGCAGCCCTCGCCCACGTGTGTACACATGCAAGCACGCGCTCGTGTCCTATGTCCTGATTGGGCTGGGGAAACACATGCAGCATCCACACACATGCGTACCGAATTCGACTTCTTTTTACCACACCCACCATCGGGTCAAGCATTCTAACGCCGAACCAACCGCGGGAGTCCTCGACCACGTTATTTTTGTATCTGNGTGTCCTATGTCCTGATTGGGCTGGGGAAACACATGCAGCATCCACACACATGCGTACCGAATTCGACNACGTACGTGTTCAAAATCACACAAGAGGGAAGGCACACAATCAGCAGACCCCCCATCAACGCGTGCGACCTCTTTTAGCGTAACACATCAGCAGCAGCCCTCGCCCACGTGTGTACACATGCAAGCACGCGCTCATGTCCTATGTCCTGATCGGGCTGGGGAAACACATGCAGCATCCACACACATGCGTACCGAATTTGACTTCATTTTACCACACTCACCAACGGGTCAAGTTGTGTTAAATTGGCCAAGCACCCTCGAGGCAGTTACACAGTGCTTACAACTGTCTCATGGTGAAAGCANGAGCCCTCGTCCATATATGTGTATGCAGCAATCACGCGGGTCGTAGATACATGTGTCCTGCTTGGCGTGTGAATAGCACACAATTCACAACCACGCTACATCTACATTATTCACCAGCAGCAACGAAGGATCTGTAATGCTAAACACTCAGGGGGAAGGGTCTGCTGAGAGCAGCGACGCCTGTGTGCTACACAAGCTGGTGCACTTACTTGCTGAACCAGAGCGAAGGGCCCTTGGTGAACTCCTTCTTGATTGTCCCGACCTTACCCCAAGCCGTCGCGGGACTTTGCATGAACGTCTTCGGGGGCGCCGAGGGGGGCGCCCCCCTCTTTGCTCTCCCGGCTGTGATGGTGCATTCAACGGGTACAAGGGGGAGGTACATCAGAGGCTGTGCCGTTTGAACAGAATGGTACGATTGTAACACAGAATCAGGTCAAACGGCACCTTACGGCGCTGCTGTTTGGCTCCTGCTGTTGCCACGACCGTTTGTTACAATGGTGCTGCTGCATAGGCCCACTACCAACTTTGGGTCTACTGCGGTCTGCTTCGTTGACTGAGGCCTGCTTATAGAGCTGCCGCCTCAACTGCTGCTGATCTGTCTCGTACCCTACACGCTCAAGCAGGGGACCCTAAACTGCCCATGAACTACCCTGACGCCACCATGCATGCTTGCGTTATTTGTTATTTTTCCAAGCTACAGTAGTTTCCTTTGAGGCCATCAACCTTATAGCCATGTTCAATCGCGGTTGCGCTGGACCGGCGCTAGTCCCAAACGTGGAACCACTGCTGTACGTAGTGCCATTTTGTAGATTTCTGTACAGTCAGGGAACAATGGCATTACAGCGCCGCCGGCGTGTGCTTTCCTGCTGCTGCCACCACAGCTCTACAGCAGGAGTGCTGTTGCAGCTACCGCTGCTGCTGCATGGGTCTACTGCATTATGTACCAAGTACATGTTGACATATCACGCCGTCCATGGACGACAGCTACTCGAACAAATGTTACATGTTTCAAGGATGGTTGCGGTGGTACGGCGTCCCACAGCAGTTCATGTGTGCACTTATCAACATATTTACGTGTGTACTTCGCTGCTGTGTGCCGTTTTACTTTCCACGTGTCGTGTATATTTTTTTAAAAAGTACGTTGGCCTTTCAAGCGTTTTGTTCTGGACCTGTACGCGCGAGTGCGCGAGTTCCCCGTCCAAACTGCTGTGCACGGGTTAACCCTCTCCAATCCACAGAATCACTGCTGTTGTGGGCAGTCAGCAATCNACGTGTCGTGTATATTTTTTTAAAAAGTACGTTGGCCTTTCAAGCGTTTTGTTCTGGACCTGTACNTCATGTGTGCACTTATCAACATATTTACGTGTGTACTTCGCTGCTGTGTGCCGTTTTACTTTCCACGTGTCGTGTATATTTTTTTAAAAAGTACGTTGGCCTTTCAAGCGTTTTGTTCTGGACCTGTACGCGCGAGTGCGCGAGTTCCCCGTCCAAACTGCTGTGCACGGGTTAACCCTCTCCAATCCACAGAATCACTGCTGTTGTGGGCAGTCAGCAATCCATTGTGATCGCCTACCCCAACGTTACACGCGTCACGCACCTCCGAGCGTGGTGAAGTAGAGCATAGTCTCCCACCCGGCCGGGAAGCGCAGCGGGTTGTCGGACTCCGCGGACTCCGCGATAGCTCGGTGGCACAACTTTATCCAGCCAGGAAGCGCGGTTTCCTGGTAGCACCTTCACACGTCTCTGTCACGAACTTCTTTGCTTTTCTTCTCCGCCTCCTTAACGGCGAGACAAGCCCATGCGATAGGGAAGCACTGCAGGGCTTTCTGGGACTGCTGACCGAGAGGTGTACCTCCATACGTAGCGCAGAAGATCCCATTCGTGAGTTCTACTGGCAGTGCCGGCGCTCTGTTGGATACCTCTAGGCTGAGTGCCATGCTGTTTCGTGGGACGCACTGGACAGTAGTTGCGTGGTCAAGCGTTTGTTTGCCTGTTGCGCGGCGTGGCGTGGTGCAGCCGCAGCAGATGGCGAGCCCGGGGGCTGCGTGTATGTATGGGGGGGGATGGCCTGTTTTTTTGAATTTGAACCAACCCGCCTCCGCATTCCAACAGTCCCGTGCACAAAACTTTCCTCGTCCCATACCAGCGTGCACCAAAAAAGTTACAGAAAGTTCCCGAGCAAAGTTGCAGAAGAAGTTTGCAACTTTTTCTGCAACATTTCCGAACCAGGTGTTTAGGGAGCAAGAGCGATCAACCTAAAGAGTACGTTCAGCAATAGTGGGAACGAAACCGTTGTTGTCTTGTTCGCGTATCGCGGGAAAATGATGAGAAGTAGTGTAGGAACGTAGGGACGATGTGAAGAAGGATAACAGCGGAGAGGCAGTAGTTGAACAAGCCATGTGCATGCCGGTTTACGGATGCGTGTATGATGCAGGAGTACTAAAGGGAGTGCATATAGACCCGAAGGATTTGTGCAGTAGGTATAGAACAACGACGAGCTTGTTGAAGCACACGTAATATTGCATCCATCATGGGGGCGTGTTGAAATGCAGCGCATTACTGCTGTGGATGGGTGTATTAGATGCAGCTGTATGGTTGCTGCATACGTAGGTGCCGTGTTATGTTGTGAGGTTTGGTAATAGTAGGACGTAAGGAGCTCGTTAATGGATTGATTGTTGATCGTAATTGTAGCGAGATCACGATGTGTTGCGGGACCCACCAGGCTCACTCCCAACTATCGCTCAACATCTCTACTCTAGAAGTATGCTGTGAAGTGAGAAAAGAGTGGACAGAAATACAAGCCCCGGAAGCGGCTTAAAGCTACAACATCGACTTCGGTCACCGCCTCAACAAACTTCGGTCTGAACTTCTGACTTCTGAATGGAACTGCACAAAGGCTTGACCGCTTGCAGACGACCCATGGGTAAGGGAACCTCCACATTACACGTTTCTACGTCTGAAAAGCCCCCGGGCTGCCGACGCAACGAAAGTAAGGCTACTTTACTATTCTATGAAACAAGGTCAGGGAGGGGGCACGCAGACCTTAGCCGGTTAATTATTTGTCCAAAATGTCTGTTTACTAAAGAAAGCCTGCGTAGGATGCTGAGGTACCCACAGCTGCTGCGCAGCACGGCAATCACCTTCGAAGCCTGGCCACCTCCGCCTCCAACCGTCTCCCTTCAGCCTCGAGGTGAAGGATCTCTTCGCTGCTGTGCCTCCTCTGCGCCTCCAGCCGCAAGCGCCCCGCGTTCCGCTCTCTCGCGCAGGCCGCCGCCAGCCCATCTCTCGCCGTCACCATCAGCTGCCAAGTTGGTTGGGCGACGTTATTTGGAGGAAAGAACAGCAGATATTTTTCATCGCTGTCTTCCGCGCCAATACGCTGGCCATCTAAGCACACAAGCGTAGGCGCTGAAGCTCTCACAAGCCTGGCGGAAGACCAAAAAAAAAAAAAGCACAAGTGTACATACAAGCCATACGTGCGAGCTCTTGTACATGTTGGGTAGCGTACCGCAGCTGTCCCAAGACACCACACACCCCGCTCCGATTACTCCACGACGGAAAGGATGCTCCCCATAAAACAAACGATACGTTTTCGAAAAGCTCTCGACGAACAGTCGCAATTTTCGACGTTTCCACTCTTGCTGCGGAGTAATCCAGCTTTGAAATCTGGCCCAAGGGGACGTCTTATCTACAACCACCTACGGTGGACCACAAGCAAGAGGAGCCACATACACACATCTACACGCCGGAAGGCTAACTCCCGCAAAGCCCGCAAACTCACACGGTACAACTCCGCAGCAATAACCACACAGACCTTCCGCTCGAAGTCCCTTCGCAAAGACGACGCGAACACGTCCAGCTCTTCTCGAAACCCGGCGTCCACCCCCCCTCCTTCCACCTCGTCGTCGCTCTCCCCGCCGCCTGAATCCTCCGAGCGCCACCTCCGAGCGGGGGAAACACCTTGTCCTTGCTCGTATCCCGTTCCGAGATTGCCACCGCAGCCGCCGGCCTTTTTCGATCCTCCTTCGCTAGCCTCGAAGTACCCGTGATCGTCGCGCTTGTCAGGGCCGCTGCTGTCCGGCGAATCTACCCCGAACGCAAACACGCCCCCACCACCGCCGTAGGGCATGCCTTTGCGAGGGGACGGGGTCTGTTCTGTCGGGGTCGGTACCCGGTAGTGGCCACCGGCGGCGGACGAAAACCCGGTGCTTGGGAGTGTTGACGCGCCCGCGGCGGCGGCGATGGCGCTGCGACTGCCATTCGCGACGGCTTCGCTTCCGCCACGACCCAGCATGCCAGAATTGTCAGAGATCAATTTCATGTCCGGGGATGGGCCCTGCGGGAGACAAGCGACAGGGCGTTTTCCCGCCGATGCGGGCGAAGGGTAAACAGCGGTATTGTAGGGCGACAGATGAATGTGGGTGGGTATAGGAGAAGGTCGGGAAAGCGAGCACACACAAGCGAGCACGACATAGCGGGCATTCGGGTACAGGGCGCCCCAAAGCCGGCGGATCGGTGTGCGTGCACGTTAGGCTTCTTTCCCTCTCCTCTCACCAATCCAACGACTCCGATCTTGCCTACGCGTACGTGGCATATACCGGTTTGGGTATACCTACCTTAGCCGCACAAGATACCTCACCCCCTCTGGATAACTTTTCGTAGCTCGATTTCTCTACGTCAGTCAGGGTGGCAGCAGTACCGACCGATAGGGCTTTGGATTGGTTTAGATATTTCTTTCCGATGCCACGCCTTTCGGCATCGGCTCTCTGCTTGCTGTGGTCGTTCGACCTTCAAGGGGGGGGGGGGGGTGTCACGTGGTTTCTTTACATTTCATGTATTTGGAGTATTCTTCGAAAAGCATGCGGAAGGCGCGCAACCGTCGGCTGGGAACTCCGCAACGGCTTTATTTTTCGCGACACTATCGTACTACTGCCATAAAAACGAGCTGGACTCTCGAATCCTTGCAATTGACAGGGCTCTGTGAGAATGATTCGATGCACGCACCCGGGTTTTGAAAATGCCACGGCTGCACACGGCACGCGTGCCGTTGCTAACAACACTAGCCGAAATGCAGCGTAGCGGGTTGAGGGAGCAGCAACTCACGATCACTGAAACTGGAGTGATAGCCGCCGGGACGAGATATCATGTGCGCGCATCTCGCAAGTTGCGAGGGTGGGGTGGAGATATATATACTTACGTTGGCGGCATCGCCGTCGCGAGGCTAACAAATGGGATGCGGTGAAATTACAGTAGGGGGCCCTCTATAGTGCCAGTATGTGTTCAGAGAGCAAAGCGGCACTATACCGGGCACCGGCACTATTCAGTGTACAGAAAGACTTGATATTCCGGTGTGTGCGAGCCGAAAACACCGGCAATATACCGGCAACCGGCACTATTCAACCGGCACAATATCGGGCCACCCACTGTACCACGTTTGGTGTGAAAATTCGGGTATGTCCACGTACGGAAAAACTTGATTTCCCGGGCAATCACCATAACAACATCNAATATCGGGCCACCCACTGTACCACGTTTGGTGTGAAAATTCGGGTATGTCCACGTACGGAAAAACTTGATTTCCCGGGCAATCACCATAACAACATCGATAACGGGGGCAAAGGTCGGTTGTCTACATGCAATACAGCTCGACGTGGGCAAGAAGCCACAGGGATCTTGCCCGTGCTGGACATCAGCTGCGCAGCGGAAGCACTTCCGCATGCATGTAGGTGTGTCCAACAGGGAGACAGACGCCCGTTGGAAATAAACACCCTGTGGCAATGCTGCCGTCGGCCCCTGTGCGCTGCCTAAAATAAGGGCGCAAATCGTTTATTACTCAACTTTGTAAGAGGCAGGAGCGACCTCCCTGCACCTCTACCCCCAGTCGCCACGCCATCTGCCGTAGCTGGCCGTGAGCGTTGTTGGTGGTAAGGTTGGCTGCTGCGAGGATCTGCTGTCGAGCGCTTGGATGCAAGTTCCTGCCGCGAGAGCCACGCTTTCTCGTCCGCTCCCGTTCGAACCCTCGTGCCCGCCTTGCAGTCCTGGCTTGTCTCTCCTTTCTCGAGCATCGCGCCACGTCTTTCTGTCTGTTCTCGGCTCTGAATGCTGCCCTGGTCGCTGGCACCCTGCGAGTGCATGTCGTGTCACGTCCTGTGTATACATTAGTACGTCTTACCTTCCCGGAGTCTTCTAAATCTAGCACCATCCCCGTCACATCTGTGTGCCCTCCTCGGAGATCTCGGAGATCTGCATCCTGCCGAGCTGCCGAGTAGACAAACAAACAGGGTCACACCCCCCAAACAGAATTTCAAGTCCGACTACGCCACAGGAGAGGAGAGTGGCGATGCACAAAATGGCGGCGATGAACCCATCTCGTTGAGAGTTTTCCGAAAACGTATCAACGATGTATGCATCAACTCCGTCGTGCAGTAAATCACGCTGTGAAACGTCCACCGCGCGTGCAGTATCCTGCATGTATGCGTAGTCTATCTGCTTAGTCTATATGTACAACTATCTATCACATGACCATACAAGGACTCGCAAGGACAGCAGTTTTATGCATTAGGTTTGTGAGCGCCCGCTCCCGGATTCTACATGTTCACACCGGGCACCTATTTTCACCTGTCATCACCGTAGCTCTTTTGTGCCTCATCGATGACTGCTTGTGTTCATGTTTTTTTTTCGTGTCGTTGCCTCGTGTCTGTGTCGAAGTCTCGTACGAATTCCGGAACCGTACTGCCTGTGCTTTCTTCCCCAACCATACGAGACTACGACATACACGAGGCAATGAAACGAACAAACCTCACGAACGCAAGCAGCCATCAAATGAGGTACAAAAAGCTGTACTCGTGGGGGTGCGGTCAGGACGAATGAATGTTAGAATACAGCAGTTAGTAAACGGCTATAGACTAGTCTATGCAGTCAGCAAGGGGTGTCGGCGCCATGGATGCATTCAGATGATACATGCGGGGATACCAAAGCGGCTGGGGGTGCAAATCTCGCAACATGCCACAACTTTGCTGTATGCATGGGGCACTTTTCACGTGAGACAGACGTGTGCTCTGCTCCTCCGAAAAGTAAACGTTTTTACAAGCTGTTGTAATTTATTAGGGCATTGCCGCTCATGCCGCCTACAAAGCGCGTTCCCTATTGAACACGTTGTGATTCCATCTTCCTACCGCATCGAAGAAGCCAAAATGCCTCACTGGTATTGTAGCCGCAAGTCACATGTACTAGGGTAAGGTGGCCGCCCGCCGTAGGCGGCGGAACGGCCACCCGGAT